CCAGAACCCCGCCCGCCCCCCTCACCCCGCCCCCCGCGGGGACCAGCCGTGATGGCGGCCATGTCAGCCCGGCTCACCTTGGCCACCGTCTTCACTTGAACGGACTCCGCGTCGGAGCCGAGGTCGTATCCCCCGAGGACAACGACGTCAGAGTTGGGGCTGCGAGAGGTAAATGGAGTCAGGGGGACGCACTGGGAGCAGCAGCCGGGGCTGCGGTGGGAAGGGGCACCCTGTGACAGCCAGGGAGGGAGCCCCGGGCTGCTCGGTTCCTTGGGTGCTGGCGCTTGGGGCTGTCCCAAGCGCTGCGGGGCGATGCCCAGTGTGCCCAAGTCCCTGCCCCTCACTCGAATTCGCAGTGGGCAGCCGTGACGACCCAGTTCTTGTCGATCAAGGACCAGCCGCAGAAGTGGGATCCCGAGCTGGTCTGGGGAGGAAAGAGCGAGGAGGAGCTGGGGCTGGGGTTGCTGAGCACCCCCCTGAAGCTAGGGACAGGCAGAGGGTGTCACGGGTCCCCTGGGTGCCTGCCCACCTCCCAACCCCGGCACCTGGCTGGCTGTGCTGTGCTGCTGTGGTGCTCATGGCACCGGTGCTGCCCCTGCCCGGGGAGCGGGATGGTGCCATACCTGCAGGGACACCTGCCAGGGCCACGAGCCGGGCACCGCGTTCTGCCCGTTGATGATCCTCTCGTCGTGCTGCACTGAGGGGCTGACAGCGGGCACCCTGCAGCCTGCGGGAGGGGCAGAGGGGTGTGAGGGTAACCCCGAAAACTCAGGGCTCGTGCCCAGGGGCTGCCCATACCGGGGCACGTGGCTCTGTGTCACCATCCCTGGGGTGCCCCGGTCCTGCTGCACCCAAGGACCTCCCCGCACTCACGGGCAGCACGTACCTGAGATGGTGCTGGCGAGGGCCAGGCAGGCGATCACCTGCAGAAACACCATCCTGGGAGGACACGTCCATGCCCTCAGGACCACGAGCTTTATAGGAGCTGGGAGCCACGTGGCTCGTAGCCAGGCAGGGCAGGGTCCCCATCCTGCTTTCTGCCAGCTGCAGGCAGCAGTGACAGGTCAAACCTGGCACCTGGCACCTTCCTTACCCCAAGCAACCCCTGGTGCCAGTGGCTGTGGGAACATGCTGCTGAAAGGCACCCCTGGGTGCTTGGGCTATCGCTGTAATGAGTTGTGTCCGTTCTCACTGCGGCCTGTGGAGCTGCAGAGGGGGAGAGCACCGCAGGGCTATGATGGGGGGCTGCTTGTGGGCACACAGCTGGGGTGACAGTGGGGCTGGACGTGCTGGGATGGGTGCCAGTGCCTGGGGCATGGGAGGCCGCTCCATCCCCAGGCCTGTTTCAGATCTGTTGGCACCAGAGCTGTTTTCCCGTGTGGCCGCGAAGCCCAGCTGGTCCCAGCTGGACCTTCCCAGAGCCCAGGGCCACCCCTTGAACCACCGCCCTGGTGCAGGTGAGGGTGTCCCAGGTGCAGGTGGGGAGGGCAGACACCTTCCCAGGCTTTTGGCGTGGAGAGCTGGGCAAGCAGACCGTGAGCCCCAGGGAGGGCAGCGGGTACCCCTCCTCCACCTGAGCATTCCCCCACCACTGCAGCTGCCTGACCCCTCACCCCAGGGCTGCACGCTGGGCAACAGTATGGTCCTCTCCATCCTGGACACAGCGGTACGTAGTGTCTCCATCATCCCCTGTGTCCCCAGGTGATGCTCCCAAGGTGGCACCGGGTGCAGGGAGTCATCCCTGGGGTGATCCCTCCCCTTCTCTGTGCCACCCACATGCCCTGATCCCTGCCCTGACCCACTGAGGAGCAGAGCCCGGATGCTGGTGAGTGATTGCAGAGCTCAGGCCTTTATTTCTGGCAGTGGTGGCACACAAGGATGGCAGGACCTGGCCTGCCACAAGGCAGGAAGTGTGGCAGAGCATGGAGCACACCCCGGGTGCTGCAGGGACTGGGCACAAGGACGCAGGCAGAGAGACAGGCTTTGCTCCTGATCTTCGCATGGCACCTGGCGAGGAGATGCCCAAGGGCTGGACAGCAGCAGAGGATGGAGGAAGAGCCAGTGCCCTGGGCAGCACTGCCCATCGTGGAGGAACCATGGGACAGGAGGATGCCTGACACACCAGACTAACGGTGCTCTGCGAGAGGCTGGAGAGTCTTGGACTCCAGTCCTGTCCTGGAGTTGGCAAAAGAGCCAGGGCCAGTTCAGCAGGAACTCCGAGCTGTCTCTTAATGCCAGCAGGGGTAGGGTTGACGGTACCACCCAGGGTGGTGAAACCCCACTGTGCCCTTCTCCTCTGCGGCCATGAGCCATGATGATCTGCTGTCCACCGTCCCTGCAGGGCCCAGGCTGGTGGAGCAGCAACACCAGACCTCTGGGCTGAGCCAAAACCACAGAAGACCTCCCATGGCTGAAACCCTCCTGCAGGCCTGAGTCTAGCGAGGCTCCATCTGCCCCGGAGCCGGGGTGGTAGCAGCCTCCCCGGCCAGGACACACTGGCTCAGAGGGCTGACTGGAGACTCGAGAAACCCAGGTGTCTGCAGCTCCACGGAGACGTGGACTCACCGCAGCTGCAGGCTCCTGTCCTTTGCTCTGTGGCTCCTCTTTCTCCTGCAGGAGAGAGGCCAGACCTGAGCAGCCCTCAATTACTGCCCTAGCAGGCCGGCAAAATACCTACGGGTCGATTTTTCTCCTGACTCAGGTCTCCCGGGACTGGTGCTTGCAGGCGACTGTCGGCTCAGCGAGGCAAGCCCAGAGGAGGATGGCACGTATCCAGACTGTCCCCAACACAGGGCAAGGTGCTGCGCGTAAGGGATGCCACGTGTCATCTCCGTTCTCCCCACCTGCAGCCTCAGAGATGTCCTGCGGGGTCCGTACGTCCGTAGGGGCGGCGGGGAGCGGGGAGCAGGCTGCGGGGCGCAGCGTCAGGCGCACTTGGCCTTGCGAAGGCAGAAGGGCAGCTCCGGCGCGGGGACCAGGATGGTGCTGAAGATGGGCCGGTAGCTCTCGGGCAGGACCTGGGGATGCTGCGCCATCATTTCCAGCACCATGTGCCGCACCTCCTTGGAGACGTCACCCCGGAGATCCAGCAAGGTGGAGATGTGCTCATCGCTGGGCAGAGAGCAAGAGGTGAGCGCGGGTGCTGCTGGCCCACGGCACCGTCCGCAGCGCTCGTGTCCCGCAAACTTCTCCTGGTCCAGAGAAGCTGAGCTGAGGCCGGGAGAGAGCTGGTACTTCGCACCAGCCAAACATTAAAATAAGCTTGAAAATAACCCCATAGACCTTGTGAATTTGGTTTTGACATTTTGGGGGTTCTGGCTGATTCTGATGTTTCTAGTTTGGTGGTTTGTGGTTTCTCACGCTTGGTTTGGCCACCTAATACAGATGGGTGAATGCCACAGCAGGACTGCTGTTTCCTTTACATCTCTGCCCTCGGGACTTTGCAAGAACCCCTCAAATCTGGAGCATGGGAAGAGGAAACCTCAGGGAGGAGGGGGGGAAAAGCCCAGGTCTCTGCCTGCTCTGTGCGTAACCTCACGGGGTCCAGCCCAAGCCTGGCTCCCCTGGGCAGACTCACACCTACCCCGTCTCATAGGACAGCGGAGCTGGGCTTCTTACCTGACGTCAGGATAGCTGGTGATGAAGCCCAGCACCTCCAGGCTGAGTAGTGCCGGGTCTTTGAGGCAGAGCAGCTCCCGCAGGGCAAAGACGGCCTCCAGGCTCTGCTGGCTGCGGTCCACACCCTGGGAAGGGAGAGCAGCCACATGCGAGACCAGGAGGAGGCCACCACGGTGGCTGGTGAGACACATCCCGGTCCTCAGTGCCTACGTGGGGACCTGGCTCATTGCAGCTGGTGTCTCCCCGCTCAGCCTGTCCCATCAATTGAGACCAGCTTGTCCCAAGGCGAGCCGAGGCTTCACCCACCTCCACTGGGCAGGGTGGATGGTCCCCGAGTCCCTAATCCAGCCAGTTCCTCCCATCTTGGCCTCACAACTGGCCAAGTACAACCGCCTGGTCTTGTTCAGGGGCTGATTTACCCACCCCATCTGCTGTGGGCTGGAGGGGAACAGCGGGGTGATGGAGGTGAGCGCTGAGCTCCTTGCACCAACCTCTCTGTGTGATACTACCCGCTGACGGCCCAGCCCCGGCTTCCCACCACACCCGGGCACCTCTCACCAGTCCACAGAAGAGCTCCCGGAGCTGCGTGGCATCCTGCAGCAGGCGGTCGCAGAGCTGGCCTCGCTCCTCCTCGCTCTTGCACACCATCTTCTTCTGCATGAGCGCCCGCAGGTACTGGCTCGCCACCAGGAGCTCGCTCTCCGTCAGCAGGAGCTGGGCAGGGGAGAGGCGTCAGCGCTGGGCATCGCCTGGGGGTCGGACCCCAATTGCCCAGGGAAAGGCACAGGGGAAAGGGGCTGGATGCACCACCAAGCCATGGGGACAACCTGCTGGGAAGCCCCCTGGCTGGAGGGACAGAGAAAGTAGCTGAATTTGGGGGAAACCCTGAACATCTCTGTGTGATGGTGTCCTCAGGGCTGCTCCGGAGGATACGGGCTCGCCAGCAAACCCAGCAGCCACGGCACCCCCTGCATCCTGCACCCCAGCACGGCACCCAACTGCCCAACCTCCTTGCCTTGCAGACAAGCAGCCATTCGAAGGAACAGCCCGCGGCAACCGTACCGTGGAGACGGGTTTCCTGACGCGGGAGAAGTCCTTTGCGTACTTGTCAATCACCTCGCACATGCTGCTGACGAGCTGGGACCCCGACAGCCACTTGCGGGAAGGCAGCTGCAGGCAGAGGGGCTGAAAGAAGCAGAGGAGCAGCCGTACGTACGGCCCCTGGCATCGCACGGCGCTCGTGGCAGCTGCCCCCCGACCCGGGGCGCC